TGGTGAAACCCTGTGCAACCAGAAGCCCAGTCACAATACGCAGTGTGGGGAACTGAGCCCAGCCTGCACTGCAGGACAGAAGCTGCTTTAACAGAGACACGAGATTTTGGAGACCAAAGCAAGATCGTCCTGCAAAACCAAGGACTGGAGCGAAGCCTGATAATGGATCAACCATGGATATGATGTGCGCCTTCAAAACGTACATGCTCAACTTCTTTCTAATGAGCTAAACATGGAAGGGAGCATCAACAGATAAGAAAATTTCCCTAACAATTACTTAACAATTTAACTGGTTTTTAAGTTGCCAGTATACATTTCTGGGAGCAATATTTAACAGTTCTGATTTCTGTGGTTGGAGTGAATTAATAGGCTTCATATTGAAGCATTAATCTTCACTTTCAGATGGCATTTAGATTAATATACTTGAAAAGAGGAACTAAGCGTTTATAATTGTTTTCTGCTCAGGGTAAATTTGTCATATTTACTGTTTATTTACCATTTCAGTGAGCAGTTAGATCTTAGACAGATTTATTCAGCTTTTGCTTTAAAACTATGAATGTATTTGCTAGAACAATTTATAATTTTAGATAGAATAGCTCTGTAATGTGCTAGGGTTGATCTAATGTGAGTCTGTCACATGCTTCAGGTGCCAAATCCTTGATTACTTCAACCTAACATTTAAACAGTATTTTGATTCAGTACTTAGTGTTGACAAGGGCTCAGTACTGTTTGGTGTGTATGTGATCACTCAATAAGGAAATAAAACCCCTTCACGAGGATTATTAATGTGTTTTGGCAGGCTGAGATTTCATTTTAAACTAGATTTCTGTGAGTTTGAGACCTTCATGTGGACAGTTTCCTGTAATGAGAACAGTAAGTTTCAAGATCCAACTACTCTCTGCCCCTTTCAAAATGTTTAGAGAAATGTTAGTGGATCACTTATGTTTTTTTTTCTTTCGATGAGGGCCTGTGCTAGTATGTTTGTACTGCCATTACTTCTTGGGCATGTTCTCTTAGATCTCCTTATGCAAATTATTGTTGCCCTCGGCAAGTGTGATGTTTGTCAACAATAATTTTGAAATTTTTACCGTTGCCACAAATGTATGTCCAAGGCTGTTAAGTTTCCGCTGCTTCAGGTAGTTTGATTTAGGGGCTTTAATTCGAAATACCGGGTCCCTGCTGCGTGTAGATGCAGGCAGTTAGTCCGGACTTATAAATTTCAAAAATGGCGACCGGTCGGGAAGATGCAAATCAAGCGTGGGATATTTAAATCCCGGGCTTGATTTGCAACTTCAAATGCCTACATTAGCCTCCCTAGTTCGAACTAGGGGGCTAGTGTAGACATACCCAAACTTTTCATCCATAACCTTAGAATAATTCTTCATTCTCTCTTCTTCTGCACAGTTGGTTTTACATTGGGCTTTAAGATGATTTGGTAATTTAGTGCAAATTCATTTTTTTTATTAAGAGCTTGTTTTATATCCATGGTGTGGTAGATCTGAGGTGGCTTTCACAGTTTAAATGCATTTCTTCAAGAACATAATGCCATACATAGACAGCCTGGCATAGTTTTTCCACTATCTAGGAAATGTTATTTTCAAAGACGCAGGTTTGGCCTATATAGCCTTCAGTGTCCAGGCAAGAAATGAATAGAATCACAAGTTTTAAAAATCCTCAACCTACAAGAGAGTACCTAGTATCTGCTTACAATCCTTTGAAGCCTTTGGAATTTCTCAGTTCAGGATCTGGCATAGAAATCCTGATCTGTGGATCTTAAATCTAGGTTACTTTAAATTTCAGTCTCCCTTTATCTGTCCCTGTCTAAATTAGGGATGTTAAAATTAATGTAATTAAGTAATCATGTAACCATTGAAAATTTCAGCAGTTACGCACAGGTGGCATTTGGCTCCCCAGGAACTGGTGCGTGTGGGGAGCTGGCTTACAGAGGCAGTAGTGCAAAGGGTAGAAAGAGCTGATATACAGGTTTGAGCCTGTACACATTGGGAGCTGGCTTAAAAGCTGTCGCCCTGTGCATACTGGGAGCCTGCATGTAACCATGAAGATTGACTGATGAGCCTGGGCTAATCAGTTAACTGTACACAGTGACACTTTCACATCACTAGTCTAAAGCACCAAAAATAAAAGAGTTAAGAGAAAGGTTTCCATGTGTTATATGAGGAAATGTTTAATTAGAAGTCTTGAAACAGTCAGATTGGCATTGGTCCTTTACATGAGTGACAGGTCAAGTCCCAAGGGTGCCGCACCATGGAGGGCCAACCTGTACAATAATGCAGTCTGGAAAGGTTAAAGAGCTTACTCTGAGTAATACTTTTCTTGTTTTATTTTCTTATTCGGTTAAGATAAGTAAGTCTATATAATATTAATATTGATCTTCTTTTTAGCACTTTAGTGATAAAACTATAGTTTGAAAATACACATTAGTATGGCGAGAAATGAACCACATAGCCTCCCTTGAAAGAATGTAAGTGTTTCAGACTCAGGGTCTTTCACCAATTACTCTTGCAAGGGAAAAGGTGGGAGAGAAACAACAGTGAGATGCAGTGACTGGTAGGTATGGAAATAGAGATGCCAGAAATGGCAGCTGGAAGATCTAACATGAACTGACTCTAAGAAGGAAAAGAGATTAATATTTTGTGGTTTGTGACTCTTTTTGTATTTCATCAAGAGTATTCTAGGCTCTTTGCAGAAGGGTATTCAGACAGCTGGATACCTCATACTTGTATACATACCTGGTGGAACAATGAAAAACAGTTCACTTTTACAGTGCAATTGTAAGCGGGGGAATGATCCCGCTATTGTGGGGAACTTTCCTGGCTTCTCTACACCCCGGTGAAATGAACCAGCGAAAGGATCTGAGTCCCCGCTCCCACTTCCTTTACCCCACGGCTCCCTGATCCTGAGGGCTGCCCCTCCACTCTTCTGAGTAGCAGAGCCCTCGAAACCCCAACAAGGCTGGGCCCAGGTTTCCTGGGGCTTAATCCCTGACCTTGTAGTCACTAGGGGCAGGAGTTAGGGTGTCCCCACTCCGAGGTGCTCTCTTCACACTGCAGGCCTTCTTGGCCCAGTGATCACTTCATAAGGTTCAAAGCAAATACAATTTATTAAACAACAATTGATTAAAGAGAAAAGAATAAGACAAAATGAGAATGGTTAAATGAGAACACACAGCCCTGCTCTGTAGCACAGGGACATCAAAACAGCAGCCTGCAGAGTGTAAGGACAGTCCACAGTCTCTTCCTTACAGGCCCCTTAGAGTCCTTGGATGTGCTGCAGGGGGCTGCAGGCTGGACACACTTGCTCTGGCAGTGACCACACAGCCTCAAGCTCTAAGTGGCCAGACCCCTCTCCCAGTCCAGAGTCTCTCCCCACACTTTGCAGTTCCCAGCTGCAGGCTGGGCTGTGTGGCCCGTCCCTAGCTTCTTGCATTGCTTCTCTGTTCCTTTTGGCACTCTGAGCACTGCCAGTCTGCTGCTCAACACAGGGTCTGCGCTCTTGAGCTGTGTGTGTCAGGCTCAGCTGCTGCAAAAACTGCCCCTCAGCACACAGCTTGCTTTGCTAGGGCAGTCTATCAGCTCCCTGTTTTTGCAGGACTTCTTCACACAGCTTGTACTCCTATTTCAGCTCTCTGTCTTTGCAGGACCACTTCTGCACACAGCTTGTTTGTTCAGAGACAGAGCCAGAACAATCCCAGCTCACAGGGAGGACGGGGCCTGGCCTCTCACTGTCCTCACTGGCCTGTCCAACCTGTCAATCAGGCTGAGCTGGAGTGTTGGCTGCTTTCCATTGTCTCTGGGGTCAGTCAGTCTCATGAACTCTTCCCCTTCAGATACTGTGAGCTGGCAAACCAAAAACTCCCACAGAGTTTTAGTAAGGGGTAACAGTCCCCTTACACAATCATATATTGTTAATTCCACAGAAATGATTGATCCAGGAGTAAAAGAGTGGAAGTGTGTCTGTTTGGTTGGGAGCACCTATGAATTTAATGAACCATAATGAGGGTTATTAGTGTTACCTCTGATGATATAAGAGAGGATTGATTCTTTTACATTATAAAGAAATAGAAATAGTAAACAAGAACTTCAGACTAAACCCCATCTCTTAAATTTCTTACATGTGAATCACATACGTGTGTCCTAGTTTACATGCAAATACCATCATATAATAGTGGGTTCTAAGGTAGTTCTCCTTACACACTGTCAACCCTAATCCACTGTCTGACTTTTTTTTTAATATAATGAACTGATGACTTCTATTGTATTTCTGAATACTTAACATAATACACTTTTCCTTCTATTCTACGTGTCAGTCGAACAAGTACTCTATTTCTTAGGCTTATTTTTCCTGGATAGAGAAGCAGCATACAAAAGGTAGCTGGTATGGTTTTCTTTAATCTTTACACAGCACAATCTTCGATCGATAGAAAAAATGTTTCTGATTGGATCTGAGAAAAAACATGGCTTACCATGACTTATTCACATTGTGTTTAAATAAAAAAGCAACCCATAACCAAATACAAAAAGCAGTACAGCTTACAGAATCACTCATCTCAAAATAGTCTGAGAAATTTGAGGGTGCAAAAAAATTGTTATATGTGTGTTGCCAGCATTTTAGATTCTTATTATTCTGTTTCATCTCAGTTTGAGTTTCCATGTGAAAACTACCTTTCTAAGAGCATATTATCATGTTATTAGCAGGAAGATATCAAGTATGTTAATTTATAATTACTTTCTCGGTTCTTTGTCCTGTGCAGTTGTTTGAATACAGTGGGATAGCAAATCAGGTGTAAAATGAAATGGTGACTACTTTGTTACACCTAAGTATTGTATTTTATCGTACATGTTGCCAAATACTTCAACTAAAAGAATATTCTTAACTACAACTATCCCAGAAATAAACAGTTAATAAAGTAGAAAATGCTGAATTTTAACTTAAAATAAAACTAATAAAGCATAATTAAACTGCTCTTTAATTTGCTTTAGAAATACAGGCCTGGTCGATGTGATGATATTTTGAAATGGAAGCCACCCAGTCTGAATTCTGTTGATTTTCGTCTAAAGATAACAAGAATTGGTGGAGAAGGGTATGTAATCTCTTCCCTTCCTTACCCTTTTTAAATATAATCTAAAATATTCACCTGAATGGTCCTTAGCAGAAAATATTTCTCTGGTATTATATCTTGATCTTTTCTAGGTTTACCTCCCCTTCTCCTCCACACATACTCCTCTTCACTTTCTGTAGCAGAAGTGCATTAGAAGCATAGACAGTTGTTTCTTTGACTTGTGATTGGTACTGTACCAAGAAGCTGTACTGCAGATGTATATAATATAGATAGGTTAATTTTCCTAATTTGTTGTTGTGAAAGAAGATACATTTTAAAATAAATTAAGCAGTCTATTCCGGCTTGGACTTTTAAAATACCTCCTATTTTTTTATAAAGTAAAAATAAAATGTTCTTTGTTAAAATATTATCTATCTACAGGTGAACAAAATGATATGACAGTTAATATTTATTCAAGACCTTGCTTTAATGTATCTCTTTGACTTATTAGTTATTTAATATCTACCAAAACCCCACTAAGGAAGATAAGGTTTCATTACCCAAGACATTTAAATGTTTTTTAGAATACAACACTTCTACATATTTCTCTGTCTGGTGCATCTGCTGCTTCTAAATTGCATTAATGTGTTATACAATGGCAGTTCCCATGTGTGAGTGTACTGGAGTTTAAGTCAATACATTATGTTTTCCATGGAAGAGATTTTGTTTAAAATCAAGTTAATTGATTTTCAAGTTGTTTAATATTTTAGTGTCTGGGGTTGCTCCTGCTGACAGTTTGATATATACTTTTCTCTTCATGCCTCTAGTAACTATGAAGAATGTAGTTTTTCAGTTAATTTATATTTTGCTCATTATTTCAGCCAACAGAATCGAGTAATGGTAATAATAGCACATCTAACACTTCAAAATATTCGCAGGTCTTGTTAATATATATAAATGGTGATAGATTGTGAGAGTGTCTCATTCTAAGGACAGAAAGCCAAGAAATATTTGTTTAGATGTCAACAGAAAATGTCAATTTAATAACCAATAGAAAAACTGTTACTACTGGGAAATATATTAGAATGTTTGTTTTTTATGTTTAGCTTTTGAGTGTCAGATGTTTAAAACAAAAAACAAATATCACGTTCTCATTGCTCTCTTTAAAAATATTAATAGTAATCACATTATAGCTGCCCCCTAGGAAGATTTTCCATAATGAAAATTAAGCTGTATTAGCTACATAAGTTATTTAATTGCAAGATGTTTTTTGTGTTTTCTGCTGAAGCCTAAAAATGTTGCAATAATGAGCCATGATGGCCACATAAGAAAAGTTCTCTTATTTCATTTTTTGTCATGTATGTGTTTGATAAGATGATACCAATTTTACACAGAAATAATAAGCAAAAATGTATGTTGATTATAATTTTTTCAGTTGGTAGATTTATGTTGATATTGGATTAGAAAAAGAAAATGCTTATAAACAAGAACAATTTCCAGAAACTTTCTGAGAATCTTTTGGAGATAGGGTATTTAACTAGATGAATATTTGGTCTGTTTTAGTATGGGGATTCTTACTTTCAAATTATATTCCAGCAGCATTATTATGTTTGGTGCCCAAAATGCAGAAGTGATTTCTAAATTACTATGCAAGTGGTTACTTATATGTAGGCTTGGCAGAAATGGAAATGTATTTATTTATAATTTTGTTGGATAATATCAGTTATTTTAAAAGGAGTAACCCCCAGCCCATGGGCTCCCGCCACCATCCCATGTTGGAGCTGGCTGGCCGCTCCCAACTCCCTGCCCACAGCAGTTACTGGTTATCTGGAACAGGTAAGCATCACCCATTTAGGGTGATGTTAACTGGTTGACCTTTCACATCCCAATTCCTAATGTCTTATACAACAGAGACTCATCCTCTCTCGCTTTTCAAGTCTCTCCTTAACTCTCATAGGGAAATTGGTGTGGTCCTGATATTTGCCAGGCTGGGAATATGTTGGAAAGAGGGAAAGCTGAAGGCAGCCTCCCAAACAGGTGGAAACAAGGAAATGCTGATGTCATGCATTGTACAATTTGTTCATGATTATTTTCAGATATTTTAAATCAGGGGAAGGTGAACTTTTTGGCCTGAGGCTACATCTCAGTATGGAAAAAATGTGGCAGACCATGTGGCAGACTATTAATACTCTCAAAATTGGGGTTTGGAGTACGGGAGGGAATGAGGGCTCCAGCAGAGGGTGCAGATTCTGGGGTTAGGCCAGAAGTGAGTTCAGGGTTCAGGAGAAGGTTCCTGGCTGTGTATTGGGATGTGGGTGGAGGTGAGAGCTCTGGCTGGAGGTGCAGGCTTTGGGGTAGAGCCAGGGATAAGGGGTATGGAATGCAGGAGGATGCTCCTATCTGGAATCAAGGTTTCAGAGAATTAGAGGGGGATCAAAGCTGGGACGGGGTAAAGATGCTGCGGGGAGATTCAGGGGTATAGACTCTGGATAGCACTTACCTCAAGTAGCTCCCAGAAGCAGTAGCATGTCTCCCCTCTAGCTACTATGCAGAGTCGTGTCCAGGAAGCTCTGCACACTGCCCTGTTCACAGTTCCTGCCCCTGTAGCTCCCATTGGCCATGGTTCCTGGCTAATGGAAGCTGCAGAGCTGGCACCTGGGATGGGAACACTGTGCTGAGCCACCAGAAGTCCCTAAACTTAGGTGCTGGAGGAGTGACGTGCACCTCAGAGCCATGGCAGTGCAGAGCAGAGCAAGCCCCTGAGCCTGCTCTCCAGTGGGAGCTCAAGGGCCAGATTAAAACATCTGATGGGATGGATGTGGTCCATGGGCCATAGTTTGCTCACCCAGTTTGAATTAATAAAACTGCAGCCTAATTAAAGCACATCCATTACTACTTGTCTTTTTTTCCCAGCGTGGCTAGACAATGGAAAGTTGTTTGAAAGAAGTAACAGTAATATAAAGATTTTTAGATGCTGCGAGAGTATCAGAATAGCACGTAAATTTATGCTTTGAAAAGGCATGTCAGGACCCTGAGCACTGCTGTAATAAAATGGCTATGAACAAGTGCTTGTTAGATTGAGTTCTATAATAACCAAAAAATTGTTTCATTAAACTGGGTGGGTGCCTTGCTGCTAGCAATTCTGAAATGATGGCATTGGGCTTCCTTTTGTTTTTTAGCATGCTAGGCTTTCTGAAAAAGCAGGTATTGATACAACTGTCAACCCATTAAGGAAAATGGTTTTTTCCCCCCTTAGGTCAAAAATACTATATACTGGACAGAGATTTGATAGCTAAGCAATCCAAAAGTGATTAGTCAACTTCCATGAAATTCATCAGTTATTTTACAATACACTTAAACAGTGGTGTTTATGGAATCAGAATTTGTCCGTATATTGATTAGTCACTGACAAATGGTGAGACAAAGCAGAGGCATTTATCTCAAATAAACACTTGAGAATCTTTTCTGCTCTCCATGGAGAACTGAACAAATGGATTCTGAAATAGTGAGCAAAGGTTATTGCCCACAATTAGCAAGTCCTCCCTTTATCTTTTACTTTAAACATGGGCAAATACCTCGATCTGTAACACCTCAGGAAGAGATCTATCAGAGCTCACAATCTACATAGTATTAATGCAGGTCTAGTTATAAGAAAACTCAAGTTACTTGAGGAAGTGATGTTAGCAGTGATCAATTTGTGCCAGGGGTTGACAGGGCTGAGTCCTAACACTTCTTGACTTAATTCATAGCCCTTGTACCTCAGGGTTTGCTGTTTCAGTTATGAAAATTTAAAAATTGCTTGATCCCCAGCACTTCTTCCATTGCAAATTAAACTGTGTCAGTGACTTAAGCAGTGTCATCAGTCTTTTCACTGCAGTAGTACTTATCTAGTGCCCTTACCATTGGATTATGGGACACTGTGTGTTGTAGAGTGTCTTTTGGATAAGATGTGTAACTGAGATCCTAATTACTTGTAATAATCTTGTGGTAGTTTTCATACCTAAAAAAGGCGATGTCTGTAGTTACTATCAAATTCAAATTTGTATAATTATTTTCAGCCTACTTCCTGTGGTTTTACATGCAGTTTCCATCCCTAAATTCTTCTGTATCAGTAGCGGTCTTGTGAAGTAGCGGCTCTGGTCCACTCCAGACATAGATGTGATTCAGTGATGGATAGTTGGATGATTTTTAATATATTCAGTCCTTTTCCCACTGAAGTCAATGGAACTTTGGCCATTGAATGAAAAAGGAGAAGGATCAAGCCCATGATTTATAAAGCAGCATCAGAATTAAAAGTATCTGTAAAAGTAAAATATTATTAACAACAGCAAGTTGCTGTAAATTAAGGCATTGATCCACCCAGTAAAAGGACGATTTTATAGGGGCTTTTTAGGGTTTTTTTATGAAATACAGAGGCTTGCCTCAAGTCCCAGTCCAGTTTTAGATGTATATATTAGTCAGCTGAATGAAAAAAGTGATGGTGGAAAGCCTGTTTCTCCCAAAAGCAAGAAAGTAAAACTGGAGATTTCCAATCATATATATAGTAGCCCAATGTCTGTGACTGTAACGCTGAAATGCTGGCTGTTCCCTCTGGGCGGCGCCACTGTCTGAGTCATGTCCTTCGCCTCCTGCTGTGGCACTCGGCTGACTTCTGCGCCGCCCAGCCGAGCCACCGCGGGGGAGCAAGCGGCACAAGTGGTCGTTTGGGTGCTGCGGTCCCCATGCAGCATGGGGCTGCAGCATGGGGAGCGCGGGGCCCAAGCAACCACTTGCGCCATTTGCTCCCCCGCGGCGTACCGGCTGGGCGGTGCAGAAGTCAGTCGAGTGCCACGGCGGGAGGGAAAGTGGTGTGGGGCAGTGACGTACGCGGCCAGGAGGCAGTGCCTGGCTGTGTACATCACCTTCTCACCTCCCCCCATTGCGCTCGGCTGACTTCTGCGCCGCTCAGCCGGGTCGCCGTGGGGGAGCCCAACCGGCCACCTGCTCCCCCGCAGCGGCCTGGCTGAGCGGTGGAGTAGTCGGCCAAGCACCATGGCAGTAGG